ACATAAACTAGTAGAAAATTCTTAGAAAAAAGGCTTTATAATTCAATTTAAAGTAGATTCGGGAAGAAAACTTTGAAGGTTTAAGTAAGATTTCAGGTACATTATTTAATGTCGAGAAGTGAAGTGAAAGTATTGAAACATATAGCAGAGGAAATTACAGATTGAAATGGCTAAAATAAAAGTTTTCAAAAATATGGTTATAAATTGTACTTTAAAAAATAAAAAGGTAGAAAGTAGATACATATTCTGTTCTCAAGTGTACCCCGTCATTGAATAAGCCACAATGATGTGACCCAAAAGTACCTAAGTATCAACTATCACCAAATTGCTATCAGAAACCATCCTTAAAGTTTAAAATTGAAACATTTTAACTGCCCCAAAAGATAATGACAAAACACACATTATTTGAAAATCAATACACGTACCAGTTTGCTCAGAATGAAGAAAATAACATTTTGATTTATCCAACAGAATGAAAAAGACAAATGAAAAAAATTTTTAATCATGGCGATTGTCTTATAGGTATAGTATGACGTACGTCCTTCGAATTGGAACTAGCACTTAATGTTACAATCAACATAAATCAACATTGTGTAACGAATTATATATTATATATAGCTATATATTACAACGATATTTTCACTCGTTTTTCTCGGAAAATCGAAAATCTTAATACTTTATTCGAAATGGGCATCAGCATTTTGAAAAAAACTCGTTTCAGTTTGAAGTGATTTTTTTAGAATTTGATATCCTCTAGATTTTGTAAAATCCCATAAAATAAAAAATTTCTTAGCAACAAAATTTTATTTTAATACCGCGAAATAGGTATCAACGTTTTGTCATTTAGTTATGTTATAAGAGTATATTAGTGGTTGACGTGCGGTGGTTTCAATAAATCGTTAAGCGAGAATAAGCACCGGCTGGTGCCACTAGTTCCCAGATGGGTAACCATCAAGATTTTTAGTGGAAAATTCTTGCCGCACATGCAMACACATGCCCAAAACCAACTGCCTCACAGTAACATAATAATTACTAAAAATCTAGAAAAATAGCTAATGACCATAGTTTCTAATCTTAAGGGTTTAATAAAAAAGAAAAAAAGTAAGAATATGTCGAGTAGATGACCTAACCCAGTTGATGTAATAATACACGATTATTAAAAAAAAAAAAAAAAACTAAAACAAATAGGTAGTGCATTCACTGATTGGATTCCCTTACGTAGTTCCATGCTATAAATTCTCACTTATCACATATTCTTATTGTGTCAAAAGACACAGCAGATTGTATATTTATCTTAAAACAAAAAAGATAGTTTATATATTTAACAGAGGATAACCTGTAATTATTTATACTTAATCACGAGTAGAAGTGTATGTATCTTTGGCGTTCAATATTAGCCATTATTGCATTGTATTTATATATTTTTTATAAATATGTAAATGGCATTTATTAAAAAAAAAAAAAAACAGGACAGTTATGTTTTGTCAGCAGACCGGAAAAGACTTTTAGAATGCTAAGTCTGGCTATCCTATTATACATGATACGTGAAGTGTTTCTTTTAAATTTGTCATAGAGACCTCGCGCCAATATTTAGTACGTAAGTGCAACTTAATTCAATTTTTCCAAAGTAAATTATTTAGAATTTGAATTCATTTGAAATATACCCATTTTAATAACCAGTTTGATGTGTACATAAGTTGAATATCACGTATGATAAAGTTTTTGTATTAATCATTTTTATTTTTTTATTAAAGTATCACAGTGAAATATCCTAAAACTTGCCTAATTCCTTGAAAATATAAACTATTTATACCCAATACTTAATGRCTTAAAAAAATTATTATTATAAAGCAATACATTTTATATTTCGAATGTATTATAAKATGTTTACCATTGTGACCTACCTATGCGAAAAGGCATATACTCACGAATATTTAAGCAATATAATATCACAGGAAACTACTACAGATGGTCATTTTCATCTTGTATTCATCTTATTTGTTTTTTTACACAAATTTATGACAACTGAACTGAAAAAAACTGAACCATGTGTGCAAGTATCAATTCACATATTTTGTTGTATAACGCATTATTACACACGAATTAAGCAATAATCTACAGAGATGTAATTACATAAAGGTTATATATAATTCAAATTATTAATAGGACTTGAAACTTAATGCACTTAAAATGTACAAATATGATTTAAAAATATAGCTATAGTAATCACTTGAATGTGTTTTTGTAAAATCATATATTTAATTAAAAATTGATTACCTAATTATTTTTGTTATTTTAAAAATCATTACCAAGGGGTTAACAAAATATAGAAACTGAAATTTGTGGTGGCGGTAAAAGGAAATATATATTTTTGTACTGGCGGTAAACGGAAAGGTCGATTTTGGCGGAAAAGTAGACCACCCATTTTTTTACCAACAATTTTAAAACAAATACTTTACAAAACATATTTTTATAATTTATAATTTTTACTGAATGTTTATTGATAAAAACGAGAAATTTTATATCAACTAGTAATTTTAAAAACATGATACAATAATGCCAATTAAAAACTTTTAAAATAAATATACATTATACCGTATTTATTATTTGTATTGCTAAATTTAACATTTTAAGCATGTTACAATAACGATCTAACGTTAAAAATTTGTTTATTGTGGTGATCTCATCAAATTCCATCGAATATTGTTTCATCTTTTCGTCTTGCATGGATGAGTGTTTTTGACAAGATAAGTTTTTCACTATTGATTTTATAACTGCATTTTTGAAGAAAACTCGACTTTTTAGAATACAGACAAAAAGTATTGTTTACTGTGATGGATGCTTTTGTTTTATGATTCCGTTGAGCATAGAAATACAATATTAAAATGTTACTTATATACATAATATTATAATAAACTTTGTTGGATTGACGATAATAAATACAGACAGTTTATGTGCGTAACGGTTTTTCTTTTTACATTTTTCGCTTAAATTGACAGTCTCAGAGGCACTAACGACTAACCAATGAGTACAATATTATATGCTGACACGATGACTTATTGTATCAGTTACACTGCATATAACACAATTACTTTTGGATAAAGAAAATTCATAATATAATATTTAATATAATATATTGTATTACAAGTTAAAATGTATAACGTTATAACAATTTAGTGACAATTTAGTGACAATTTAGTGACAATTTATTTTTATTTTTTTACATATTACTTATGATGTCTAACATATAATGATATAATTTCTAATATCAATATCGTTAAATATTTTCAGAGATCGTAAATAATGCCAAATATTGTACTGAAAAGTATCAACTTGAATAATCAATGAATATATGTATATATATATATTTTTTTGATTTTTGATAKTTTTGTATACTTTATAAAAGCGAATTTATTTTCAGATTGATACATTAAATCTTATTCATTATTATTATTTTTAGTTCCTGTAGAATCTTCTTGATTCATTTCGAAAAGTTCATATTGAATTTGGAAAAAAAAATATCACAATTATCGGGTAAAATATTTTCCACAAACCTAGAAAGTGAATACATAACAAATTTTCAACAAAACTGAATTTGATGTATTGAATAATTTTAAAACGATATCGAAACCGTTGGTAATCACTTTTTTATAAAATAAAAATAGTTACGTGGCGTCTTAGATAGACTTCTAACGGTACATCACAGATCTGTGGCATGGCATAAAATATGAAACTCAATATCTGGGATAGCTCCTTGGCCGCTTGTTGTCCACGACTCAAACGAATTTTGTTCWCTTACGCATCTTTCTAACGGTTTTATTTCTACCACTTGTCCGTATTTCAGGACCTCACGTATAGGCTCAAACGACCGTAGTAATAAGTTAATGATAAAAACATGAAATAAAAAAAAAAATTTCAAGTTTGTAAATCATTATTTATAATGTAACCTAAAGGCACTTTTCTATAAACTTGTTCGTACGTTTAATATACATGCTTCCCTCCCCCCTCCAYACTGCACAGTTCATTCMGTTGATTTACACCAGTCATTCTACAGGCACAGTTTAATGAAATTCTCTACTTACAGTAGTAATGTAAAATGTGTTATTTTTGGAGATTGCCGAGATTTAATTTACCTAATGCATCTTTGGTTCTGATTGCTCACGTCTCACCTATGCAGTGGGATAACTAAGTTTTCAAGATCCCGATGAAAAGGAATTTATGCAGCCTTAAAATTAATATCAAAGCAATTATTGAGTTTTGTTGTTTAATTTGAGAACTTATACAGATTGCCAATTAYATTGAGTTTATAAACTTGAGAGAATACATAAAAAGTGTGGAAGTATGGTGACGTACGAGGTACAAATGGCAAAAAAATCTTTTGAAACTGTTTTAAATCGTGTGGCCTGAAACCTTTAGTCCAGTGCCATAAACATACCTGGAATTAAGTTTTAAATAAATAKTTACTAAGTCGGTCCTGTTATTCTGGATAGAATAAAATTTCAGTTTATAATTTTACTATTTTCAATAATATATATATATAATATTATTAAGCACTAAATGCAAATTGCGTTCAAAATTGATAGGGGGTCCGGTTATTCATTGTAAATATTATGTTTAAAAGATTTTTTGTTTTTTGCATCAATCTTTTTTGAAATTAGAGATTGTATTTTTGTTACTACTCATATCGTAATTCATTTTAAGTATTTCATGCATGTATTTTTCATTCAAACGGGGTGATAAATTATAAATAATAAAATCGCAAACACTTGTTTTCTGTCACAATATTTAAAGTAATGCTATCAATATTTCAATAAATTTGAAATCGTTCAAGTTTAAAAAATATTGATTTTCAAACGGTTCTTATAAAATAAGATTAAAACTAGTATTTTTTTATTTTWATTTGTGGGTATTTTTTCGGGGGTGGTTTTGAGTTTCAGAAGCGGTTCATTGAGATTTGGTTTTTGTAAGATCATTAAAACGAACTTAAAAAAAAATGTTACCTGCGAGGAGGGTCCAACCCCGAGGACGCCAGCTTTACTGGCGACAAATGTGGCGTCACTGTTGCTCCGGTTGACGGCTTCGGCATCCTGCCGCCGACACCGTTCGGCGTATTCGGCCAAACACGCCACGTAAGCGATGGCATGTGGTACGTAAGACTGGTCGAACGTTCCAGAGAAAAGCGCTTGCGTGATACCCTGTGGCCCAGCCGCGTACACCGGCACATCTTCGCCTCCATGCGTGGCCCACTGCCGAGGCACAGCGGCCCCGTGCAACCGGTTGTGCGTCTCCGCGTCAGTGGCGTTCATCATAGGCACTAATCGATGTTCAGCATTGTGGCCGGGTCCGTTACCATAGAGCAGCGTGCTGTACGGCAGCCCGTCCACGTCCGATGGCTTCACGTCTACTCCTGTGGAATGACACAAAAAGAAAATAAATGAAAACGTTTGGGCTTTGAAGTGCTAAGTCTTGGGAGGCCGAGGGTGCAACCAATAATATTTATTGAAGGCCTCCCCCTCCCAAATAAAAATGAAATTTATTAATACCTAGCTTTTTTGTTTTTTTTTTTAAGTTCAGATAGTTTTAAAGAAGAAAATATTTTATCTTTAATGTTTCATAGAATCAATATCGATGCGGTCAAAGTCAAACAATTGAATTACAGCCAGTGCCGTATTTACCATTAAACACTATAAGCTAGTGCTTAGGGCGGCAATTTCTCAAGGGCGGCAAATAATTTTTAATATTACATTTTTACTAAAATAAATGCAACTAATTATAAAATGTTTTTAGACCAACGGGATTGTGGTAATATTTATATTTTATGTTTTTCAATTTCATAATCGTAGAGTTTATCGCTCTATTGTATAGCTATGTGTTTTTTACCAAATATTGGGCATAAGTCTGAAACACTTGAAACGGCCGTATTGTCTTTTCTAACTAAACATGATATTGACATAAAAAACTGCAGGGGCCAGTTGTACGACAACACCGCCAATATGTCGGGAATTTACTCGGGTTTACGGGCAAAGATAGTAAAAAAAAATCCTTACGCTTATTACGTACCATGTGCTGCTCACTCGCTAAACTTGGTTGGGACTTGTGTAGCTGAATGCGTGAAAGAAGGATTATCGTTTTTTAACACTATTCAACATCTTTATTCTTTTTTTCTGCATCTACTAGACGATGGGATATTTTAAAGTCCAGCCTAACGCTCAGTAAAAAAGTTGTCAAAAGAGCAGAT